TGAGAAACACATTGAAGAACAGGATCCTCTATCCCCTTAAACTGATTTGTTTATTGCTCTTTCCCTTGATTAAAGAATGTGATTATGTAGAGGGGTTCTGTAGGGCACCTCCATGGGTGTAAACTACTCAGTGTCGTATTGTTCTGAACAATCCTGACTATTTAGACTGACTTTATGTGTACACCAAATACTATTTTCTTGATTTTATGATGATTTTATTAAGAAATACTGAAGAATATATGGTCATTACCAGACATCATGGGGTTTATTCACTAAAGCTGGAGAGTGCAAAATCAGGCTCACTTCTGCATAGAAACCAATCAGCTTTCAGGGTTTATTGCCAGAGCAGGGGAGGACTGACAACTCATGGGGCCCCCGGGCAATAGGGGATCATGGGGCCCCTGTGTCCTCACCCACACCCAAAAAAGCCAATGAAAAAGCCAATGAAAGGTTCCAGGGGCAGCTCATAGCCCGAGTGCTCGAATGGTCAGTCCACCCCTGTGCCAGAGCTTAATTAAACTAGCTGAGGTTACAAGCTGATTGGTTTGGCTTTAGTAAATAAACTCCTCTGTTTTGTTTACCCTAACTAGCATCTAAAATTTCCAACTTATTACATTTCTTTTATATTCTAATACATGGGGGATGTGGTTTATATAGATAATATAGGCCATTTTACAATTACAGTCTTTAAAGCAGACGTCCATTATCAACCCACCTTCACCACCAAACATATATACTCACCGGCCACTTTATTAGGTACACCATGCTAGTGCTAAAAAAATATCCCCCACACCATTACACCACTAAAAGCCTGAACCATTGATACAAGGCAGGATGGATCCATGCTTTCATGTTGTTTGCACCAAATTCTGACCCAACCATCTAAATGTCACAGCAACCAGTCTTCCCATTCTCTTCTGACATCAACAAGGCATTTTCGTCCACACAACTGCCACTCACTGGATAATTTCTCTTTTTCGGACCATTCTCTGTAAACCCTAGAGATGGTTGTGCATGAAAATCGAAGCAGATCAGCAGTTTTTTAAATACTCAGACAAACCTGTCTGGCACCAACAACCATGGCACGTTCAAAGTTACTTAAATCCCCTTTCTTTCCCATTCTGATACTCAGTTTGAAATTCACCAAGTCATCTTCACCACGTCTACACGTCTAAATGCATTGAATTCCTGCCATGTGATTGGCTGATTAACAGTTTGTGTTATCAAGCAATTGAACAGGTGTACCTAATAAAGTGGCCAGTGAGTGAATATATTTTTAATTACCCTTGAATACAGACCTTAAATTTAGTAGTCTTCTGGACAGTCATATGCAATTGTGATATCAGCAATGATCTCTGCACTCTTGAACTGTGAGCCCAATGAAGTGATGCAACCCCAGTGGGTGCGTCTATGACAGCCTGGGCTCACAGGAAGTTGGTCGAACGATGCTGGCCACCATTCATCAGGCTGTGTGGGACATAGCCAAGGAGGAGATAAGTATTCTTTCAAAAGCTTCCTTTTTACATTGTTTATGTTCTTTCTTATTGTTTTTTTTTTTTTAACTGGAATTCTGCTTTAAGAGATTATGGGGTCAATTCACTAAAGGATTTTGCATGCAATATGAATAATAAAATAGTCATTTCATCAAAGTAAAATATCGAAAGTGAGATAAATACTGCAAAAAAAAAGTGAGATAAATAAAGTCAATTTACTAAAGAACACACGCAGATTTGTTGTTTGTCACCTGCCAGTAGGCAGTCAGTGTTTTAGCAAAATACAAAATAACAACGAGGGGAACTCTGTACTGGTCAGTATCAGTATACAATGTATCAGTGTGGAAATGTTCTGCCCTGAGCTCAGGAATGAAAATAAATTGTAACATTTCAGCAGGGGGAGATTGCTCTCTGAATAAAAGCAGACTTGAATGTTTTCACAGTTTTATAATATATCTGTGCGCATTTATTTCTTCCTCTGGTGCAGTGTCAGCATGTAAAAAAAATCGAGAAAAAATGCCAAAAAGAATGCTAATTTTAAGTGATAAAAAATTGCAAAACAGAAATATTTAACACATTTAGTAAATAATATATGTTTTTCAGTGAATTGACGACTCCTGAGATATATATCACATAAGTTCTGTTAAAATGTTACTAAACCAACAACAGTAAAAGCAGTCTGTATACGCAGTAAAGCATGCTTGTTATACTCACTGTGGAACCTAAGGGGTTAATCCTCTGCATTGTGTAAAAATACTGTTTAATCCTGTCTTCCCTGATCCTCCCCTTCTTCTACTGACCCCAATCCACCTGCTGATAGAACAGAGCCCTAGGAGACACTCTGCACATGCTCAGTTTGGTGTGTATTGCTAGAGTGTTTTTTTTTTTCTTGGGAGAGTGCATGTGATTAGCACAGGGCCAATCAGCACTGTCCAGACAAGGGGTGAGAGGTTATGCAGCCTCATAGGACAATCCAAGCAGAATGAAAACTTCTCCTACAAGCTTTAACCAGTGCTCAGCTGGACACTGATAGAGGTCACAAGACTACTATATACTGCTGATGAGAAAATGTATTTAGCCGCTTATATTTACTAAAATAATTGCATTTCCATGTACTGTGTACTGTGGGAGATCAGATATAGTGAATGCAGGGTCCTGGGTTTAGTAACACTTTAATTCAAAAATGTATGTATCTCTTTCTGAATTGACCCCTATATAATCGAACTTATTTTTTTAAAGCAAGCTGCCTAAAATACATGCAGTAATTACATATGTAATTAAGACTAGCAGTTAAACACTTCTTTATGTGTATGACTCCCAAGGCTAAAGGATTTTCCCATAACTTTTAATCTTTATTGACATACAGACTTGGGGTTTTGAGAAAACAATGTGTGCATAAGGTGTAGGAGAGATGTTTGGGACACAACTTAATGTTAGAAGACCAAAGAATGCACTTTAAATCTCCTCTTTGGATGGCGTGGTCTCATGTGTATGGGAGATGCTTTTAAGGGTCACTAGGTTTTTCTTCAGTGTGTGAAAATTCAGTAATCGAACAAGTGTCAGCTTTACTGCAAGCTCAACAAATGCATTTCTATTGACAAATTTACTGGCAGTGAAGTCAAGTATGTGTGTCAGATATTCTTCCAGAATGCCCCAGGCTTTTTTTTCCGAAATGAACAAATCAATAACATAAAGCTACCACTAAGTTAAAGTGGAACTATAGGCAAAATAAAAAATGACATATCTTGCACAGTTTGTCTCTAGCATGAACACAACAGTTTATGTTTTTCTGGGTTCCCCCATTTTTATTTGTTGATCCTGCCAGTAGACCCTTTATTTTTCCAATGCTTTACTTTCTTCACCCAGCAGTGTTTTCTCCCTGTGGACAGGGTGGGTCTTAGGTGAACATGAAGATTTAAAGGTATGGTCCACTTTTTAAATCATGTTTCATGGTATACCCACATCTAGGGTATAATAGAAAGCATGGTTGCACCAATGCCCTAAACCCAAACCACCCACCTTACCACCCTTTCTCTGGGTTCTTCTCACTCCAGACTGTTCTAGTTAATTGAACACAACACTGCTGCACATTGGCTCTGCCCACACAGACACAATATCCATGCATGGATCTATGAATGAAAATAGTACAAATTCTATCTGCCATCATGGTAGAAGGGCTAGCAGATGATTCTTGTAGCTAGGTGGTGACATCACTGCCCTTGTAGACCATTGATGATTTCCTCCAGCCCCATACCAGAAGGCCTGTATGGAGGTATGGACCTTCTGTTACTGGGCTGAAGGAAATCATCAATGGACTGAAGTTTGGGGTAAACAATGCAAGAATCTGTGCATTGCACCTGCGAAATACTGATCAGGGTTGCACTGCTGTAGAAAAATGGAATAAATGTTTTTTTTATCAGTTCATTGTTGGTGCATTTATCATTATTTTTAAATATGGACTATGCCTTTAAAAGGGACTTTAAAGTGGTCTAAAGGATTAAGTTCTTTTTTTTTTACCTTACAGCATTCTCTGCATTAAGGTAAAAAAAAACCTGTAATCATGATCCCCCCAGCCCCCCTGAGCTCAATCCAGTGCTGTGCCAGAGAGCAGAGAGTAGTGTCTCTTCTCTTCCCCCCTTACAGGACACAGAGGCACCAGTGGGAGCCATTGACTCCTGCAGCTGTCAATCAAATCCTGTGATGAGGGAGCAGGGGTGAAACCAAGCCACCATGGCTGTGTCAAGGCAATGTGAATTGGGGTTGAGCCTGTACAAGTGCCCCCTGAGGAAGCGGCTTTTTATGGGTTCACTCGCAGATGAGGAGGAGCCAGAAGCATTGTCAGGGAACCTCAGAAGAGGAGGATCAGGGCTGCTCTGTGGAAAACCATTGCACAGAGCAAGTAACTATGGCATGTTATTTAACCACTTGCCCTAGTTTTACCCTCCCTCCTGACTAGGCCATTTTTTTGCGATACGGTGCTGCATTGCTTTCACTGACAATTGCACGGTCATGCAACGCTGCACCCAAATGACATTTACGTCCTTTTTTCCACAAATAGAGCTTTCTTTTGGTGGTATTTTATCGCCTCTGCGTTTGTTATTTTTTGCACTATAAACAAAAAATATCGACAGTAGAAAAAAACATATATATTTGACTTTTTGCAATTAAACATGTCCAGTAAAAAAATATAAAAATTGTCATAAATTTAGGTCAAAATGTATTCTGCTACATCTTTGCAAAAAAAAAAACAAAATCCCAATACGTGGAATTTAGTTGGTTTACATGAAAGTTATAGCGTTTACAAATGGCGGTATATACTGGAATTGTTTTTTTCTTTTACTAATAATGACAGTGATCAAAGACTTTATCAGGACTGCGGCAGGAATTCTGACACTGGGGGTAACTGACTTGGTGTCACTGACATCCCCAGTGACACCAATACAGTGATAAGTGCTTATAAAAAGCACTGACAACATACTAATGGCACTGGGCAGGAAGGGGGTTAACATGTGGGGTGATCAAAGGGTTAACAGTGTGCTGTTTCACTATGTTGGCTGTGTATGTGTGCTTCACTGTAAGCACACTGATTTGCATGGTTCTGCTATTGAGAGCCATACAAAGCAGTGTGCAGGAGCTGACAGGGGAGATATCTGTGTTGTTTATACACAGGTCTCTTCCCTGTTGGAGATACTTGGCGATCAACAGGTGCTGGCGAGAAATCACCGGCTTGAACCTGTTGATTGAGAGTGGAGGCTGCGAATGGCGGCATGGGTAGGGCGCACATGCCCCTACCCGGAACTGCAAAAATCACGTTTATATGTAATTTTGCGCACCCGTGCCTCCCTGTAGCAGTATTTCTGCTATAAGGTGGCACGGAAGCATTTACGTTTCAAATCACTTTAGGTTAGCAACCATTTAGTAATTTTTTGGCAACTTTTTTCTTCTTTTGGAAAACTTTAGGTGACTTTTTTTAAAGCGGGACTATAGTCTTTAAAAGTTTTCTTTTTTTTTTTTAGCAGGCAGTCTCTTTATTGTAATTAAGAAAGACAGGTGCACTCACCCACTAAATCAACCATATAAATAAATGAAAATAAAGAAATGGCATCAACATGATATAAACATGACTGAAGAAAGTGCAAAAATATATAAAGTGCAAATATATAAAAAGCAAAAGTGTTCTCATTACATATAACAAAGTCCCAAATAGTGCAAAAAATGTGTAACAAGGGCATTGATTTACTGTAACTAGAGAGTGCAAAATCTGGTGAAGCTCTGCATAAAAACCAATCAGCTTCCAGGTTTTATTGTCAAAGCTTAACTGAACAAGCTGAAGTTAGAAGCTGATTGGCTACCAAGTTTTGCACTCTCCAGTTTTAGTAAATCAACCCCAAAAAGTCCAATAAAAAAGTGCAGAAAGTATGTAACTCAATCACAAAAATCAAATACATATGAATTCAATCAAAATATTGAGTAAACCTATATGTAACATAGTCCCACAAAATAAAGTGCAAAAAACGTCCAAATTAAAAATCAATAAAATCCAGTGATGAAAAATGTTCATAGTGCCAAAAAGAATGTGCTCCAGTGCTTGAGTGCAACCAGACATGCAACACACTGCCTACCAAATATAATAAATCTCAGCACTGGAGATCTAAAAGCTTATGAAAAAGGTAACACTCAGATAGCCTGCTCAAAGGGTCATCCATGCAGCATGGATCTTCAGTGTAGATTGTTATGTGTAGTAAAACCTCTCAGCTCAAAGGGTCATCCACCCTGCATGGACCAGATTGAATGGGATTCACAGCCACAGCATCCACTTACTGTAAATAAAAAGAAAGGAGAAGCATATAGTAAACATATAAATATTTAATATCGGAAACTCCAAAGACATGCTGGTAGGTTAATTGGATCCTGTCTAAAATTGTCCCTAGTATGTATATGTATGAATGTGATTTAGGGACCTGAGATTGTACGCCCCTTGAGGGTTAGGGACTGCTGTGAATGTACAATATATATATGTATGTAAAGCACTGTGTAAAATTGACGGCACTATATAAGTACCTGAAATAAATAGATAAATACACCCTGTTCCAAATTATTATGCAAATGATATTTTTCTCATTTACTTAAATAATTGATGTAAATAACAGTCAGCATAATTCTCATGTTATCAACTATTAAGAGTACAATTAAAATTTTATTGAACAAACCTCCGAATGATAACAGGATTTTTGTTAAACATAAAACACTTACAATGCACTGTTCCAAATTATTACGCACAGTAAGTTTCAAAACACTTTATAGGTTGTAAAGAACTGAAAATTGTCATTTGTTGTGTTTGCAGCATATTTACTGAAATCAAAAGCTATTTCAATCAAACTTTTAACAACATTTTAACTTTTTAAACATTTTAACAGGTCACGTTACATTTTAACATAGGACCCCTTATTTGATAGCAGCTTCACAAGTCTTGCATCCATTGAACTTGTGAGTTTTTGGACAGTTTCTGCTTGAATTTGTTTGCAAGATGTCAGAATACCAAATACCAAAATAGTGAAGCGCTAATAAATAGCTAAAAAATACCCACAAACATGTCTCAAATACCATCTAAACCTATAATCAATCCCTTAAAGTGATAAAAGTATAATATAATGAGTCTAATTGGTGAAAACTACGATACATAAATATCTCATACATAAATAACTTAATTACCTCATTAATTAATCCGTGATAAAATGCCAAATGTTATATTAATAAATAATCCTTGGATAAATCAGTGATATGAAATCAATAATCATAATTCCAAAAATAAAAAAATGTACCTATCCACAATACATAGTGACAATCCTATAAATTGAGATAAACTGTGATTTCTTCATCAAATGAATACGTGATTCATAAATTATGTGATATACAAAATAACAGAGTAATTTTTGTTATTTTGTATATCACATAATTTATGAATCACGTATTCATTTGATGAAGAAATCACAGTTTATCTCAATTTATAGGATTGTCACTATGTATTGTGGATAGGTACATTTTTTTATTTTTGGAATTATGATTATTGATTTCATATCACTGATTTATCCAAGGATTATTTATTAATATAACATTTGGCATTTTATCACGGATTAATTAATGAGGTAATTAGGTTATTTATGTATGAGATATTTATGTATCGTAGTTTTCACCAATTAGACTCATTATATTATACTTTTATCACTTTAAGGGATTGATTATAGGTTTAGATGGTATTTGAGACATGTTCGTGGGTATTTTTTAGCTATTTATTAGCGCTTCACTATTTTGGTATTTGGTATTTATGATCTACTGGTTGAGGCAGAGTGACAGCAGCTGTAGAATAGGGACGCATCCATATTAAGCGCAGGAGGATTTTTTCCTAAGATGTCAGAATAGCCTCCCAGAGCTGCTGTTTGGATGTAAACTGCCTCCCACCCTCATAGATCTTTTGTTTGAGGATGCTCCAAAGGTTCTCAATAGGATTGAGGTCAGGGGAGGATGGAGGCCACACCATGACTTTCTCTCCTTTTATCCCCATAACAGCCATTGATGCAGAGGTATTCTTTGCAGCATGAGATGGTGCATGGTCATGCATGAAGATGATTTTATTACGGAAAGCATAGTTCTTCCTTCTGTACCAGGGAAGAAAGTGGTCAGTCATAAACTCCACATACTTTGCAGAGGTCATCTTTACACCTTCGGGGACCCTAAATGGGCTGACCAGCTCTGTTCCCATGATTCCGGCCTAAAACATGACTCCACCACCACCTTGCTGATGTCGCAGCCTTGTTGGAACAGGGTGGTCGTCCACCAACCATCCACTACTCCATCCATCTAAGCCATCCAGGGTTGCACGGCACTCATCAGTGAACAGGACTGTTTGAAAATTAGTCTTCATGTATTTTTCTGCCCAATGCAGCCGTTTCTGCTTGTGAGCATTGCTTAGTGGTGGCCCATTAGAAGGTTTATGCACAGTTGCAAGACTCTGGATGACTCTACACCTTGATGTCCATGGGACTCCAGAGGCACCAGCAGCTTCAAATATCTATTTGCTGCTATGTAATGGTATTTTAGCAGCTGCTCTCTTGATCCGATGCATGGATCTGGCAGAAATCTTCCTCAATGTGCCTTTATCTGCACAAACCCGTCTGTGCTCTGAATCAGCCACAAATCTCTTAATAGTGCAATGATGACGCTTACGTTTTCGTGAAATATCTAATGTTTTCATACCTCGTCCAAGGCATTGAACTATTTCATTCTTTTCGGCAGCAGAGAGATCCTTTTTCTTCCCCATATTGCTTGAAAATGGTACTCTGCTTAATAATGTGGAACACCCTCCTTTAGTAGTTTTTCCTTAAATTGGGCTCACCGGCCAATCTAATTATCACAGGTGTCCGAGATTGTTTTCAGTGATCAAAAGAGCCCGACACACAATGCCATCCATGAGTTACACTGAAAAACAAAATATTTAATCTTTGTGACACTTAAATAGAATTTGCATAATAATTTGGAACGCGGTGTATTGCACATACATAAGCAGCAGTAAAGTACGTGATTATAAGGGTAGCAGGCCTGCTGGTTGTGAAATGGTTACCCAATCTGAAATATTCAAACTTACAAAAAAAGAGGCTATCAATCATACCCAATATTAACAGTATATAAACTATACAAGAAGGATGGCCTAAAAAACATATTCAGCAGAAATAAACATCATCGATGCCACCAAGATGTCCTGAGATTTACACAATACTGACTGTACAGTTTCCAAAGCTCTTCATCAAACCTGCCCAAAAACAGAAACTGGTAATTTTTTATATGCTGAGTTTATGTTTTTATTTGTACGTGTTATGGAAGCCTTTCATTTAAAGGTTCTACAACACTAAACTTTATTGAAAGTCCCCAAAATTATCACTGTGATGGATCTGACGTATCACAATTTTTTTACTATAAAACAAACCTTGAAATCTTGTTTTTATATATAGATCCCAGAATGCACATAATAAAAAAAAAATCGGATCTACTCTTTTCCTTACAGTGCTGGACATTTCTTAAAGCTGAACGCCAAGCAGATATAAAATACACAAATAATGCAGCTCTGTATTATTAATAAATACATAATTTAATTCACTTTTATACAAGTGGTGTAAGTAACTGTCAGGGATCCCCTCAATCCCCGCCGCGATGGTCCCGGCGCAGGCGCAGTATGCCGCCCTGTGCAGGGACGCGGGCTCTAGGTCCGGGCCGGCCGCGGCGCGTGAGTTTGCGCATGCGCAGTAGGAGCCGCGGCCGCCCGCTGGGCACCAATGGCAGCGCAGGGCGCGATATTTAAACGGCCCTGAGCTGTCATTCAGTGCCTTCTGGTCTTGTCCTTGCCCTGTATCCTGTATCCTGAATCTGAACCTGTACCTGTAAGTTGCTGACCCGGATTGTACCTGACCACTGCTGAATTCTCCTGCCCAGACCCTTGCTTTGCCTGACCTCTCTTCCGTATGTCCCCTATTGGATCTGACCTACTGTTGTTGACCTGGCGTGTGACCCGACTATTCTCTGCCCGCTGCCTTGTACCGTGCTGTCCTCCCCGTTACCAACCCGGCTTGCCTGACTCTGCACTTGCTCCGCCATCCATCCATCCATCCATCCATTCCTCTCAGCGGGGTTCCCAGACCTCCTCATATCAGGCTCTCTCCCGTGGGAGCCCCTGGCGACCACCCCTACCACTGACGGGTGTCCTCAGTAAGCACGACCTGGTCCCGGGGTACTCCAAGTCCATCCCCACCATCAGGGGCTCTGGTGAACAAGTACTCTGGGACTTAGACTCCGTGCGCTGGGGACGCCTGATTA